GGACCATTTGTTCAGATCAAATCTCTCATCCCACCCAAAAGCCGACACCGCTGCTCATGAACAAATGAGCTGGCGTGACGTCTAAGCGTGAGAAACTTCGGCAAGAAATTTTTGTCAGCCCAGTACCCTTCACATTTCTCGCCCTCGCAAAAAATCAGTTTTTCCGAACTCCACAAAACCTGGCAACCACGAAGTCGGTGACGATGTGAGCAGAAGTTCCACTGGTGGGAAGCATTCACAGAAGTAATCTTTCCGAGAAATGTGCACACTGAGCGGAAGAAGTGTTGTTGTGAGTGCTCTTGCAAGCTGACTGGCTTCTCGAAACTCCCGGCCAGCAGCACTGCTCTGACACATCAGAGCCCGTCAACCATGCAAGTGGCAGCAACTCGCCACATCAAATTCGCGCATATCCGGTGCAATCAGCACTGCCCGTCACAGACAACGAATGCTTCGCTGTGTGAAGAAATAATCACGTACCCTGGTGTACAGCAACCTCACAGTTGGGACCATCGCAGTAAACAAGCGGATTCGAATCCCAACCATTTTCATCGGCGCAGACGCAGCAGCCGGCCAGCATCTCCTTCAAGAAACAAAAATGCACAAAACGAAATGATACCGGGCACTCCAACCCACTCCCCGACCAGAACGACAATGAAAGCGCCTCTCCCTCCTCCCGGGACAATTTTTTAACAAAAAAAATTTATCACCATTATGAGGACAAGAGCAGCAACGTGCGTTTTCGCGTTGTAAGACGTGTAGCACCGCTCGAAGGAACTGAACGATATAGAATGGCGCAAGCAGCCACCAATCATCCTTTATGCAATCACACAGTGAACAGCATAAGGGGCCAAAATTTGCATAAATTAACAAAAGGGCAAGAGGCGATGTTGCAGAGATCCGTCATCAATGAAGAAATTAAGACACGTCACACAATAAGATGAAAAGTTTAAATGCTTGCTTAATATGGTCACGAAGAGGCACTGCAAACAACATCCCATACATCACAAATTTTTCCATTACAACTAACGTTTGCTCTTCCGCTTTCGCCAGTGACCACGTTTTCATTAATTTTAACACAGTCAGCGCTGTGACT